TGCTTCAAGATATGTTCTTATTACCCATGCTCCATTATTTCCAGTATATTCTATTCCTGTTCTTAAAAGTTTATCTGTAAAATCAGAATTAAATTCAGTAATTAATCTATACCTTGCATGACTAAATATTATCTCATATAATTTTTTAAATGCTGTCTCATTTTTGGATATTGTTTTCCAATGTTTTCTAATAAATGAGTATAATCCTGTTACAATAGGTATCATTGCTATTGTTCTATCTGGTTGTTTATATCTATGTCTATAATCATCTAGTGTTCTGGGTTTTAAGTGTTGAGGTGTATTTTTCCATATTATAGCTACTGTTCCTATCCATAATGATGCAATGTAATCTATCATTTTTTTAGATCTTTCACATAACCCTACTGGTTTTTTTGGTTATACTCCTGCTACATGCTCAATGGCTCCTAAGCCTGAAAGTAATACTTTTACTAATTCTAATCCATCCCTATGTCTATTTCCATATAGTCCTCCTCCATATGATACATCATTTCTCCAATAGTTATAAGCTGGTAAGTCTTTATGTCCTGTTGGATTAGGTAAATATTTATCATTAGGTTCCTTTTCTGTAGGCAATCCTAATCCTACTACTATTCTTTTTAATGCTGCTATATATGAATCTACATTACTTCCATCAAATATTGGTATTGTTCCAATACTTGCTCTTATTAATTCAAATGGTTGATTATTCCATTTATCTACATCATCTTGTGCATCTTTATTTAATCTTGCTGCTTCTGCAATGTCAGTCTTTTTCTTTTTCTTTTTTGTATTGATGTCTTTTACTGGGGTTTTTTCTTTTGATTTTATTGATAGTAACTTTATTTCTAAAGGTTTATTTATCCAAGGTTCTTCAAATATTTCAGATTCTTCAAATCCTGTTTCTTCAAATCCTGTCAATGGTTTTGATTGTCCAAATGGAGGTATATTTATATTAAATTTATCAGGTATTAAACCAAATTGTTTTCCAAAACTTGTTGTTCCTATATTGAATGTTCTAAATGATTTACTTGAACTTCCTTGTTCTATATAAAAAGGTAATTCTTCTTCATTATCTGATTCTTGGATTACCATTTGTTCATCCTTTCTATATTCCATTTCTGATTCTATTGTTTGATATTGATTTTCTATTATTACTTGTATTTGTTGTTATTCTTCTTCTGTTATTTCCTTAATATTATGTCTTTGATATACCGATTGTCTTATATCATCTCTTATTCTTTTTGTTTTATGAATTCGTTCTTCCAATGGTAATTCTTCTTTATTATCTAATAATTTTGGTGTTATTAAATCAATTTTTCTAGCTTTACTTTCCCAATATTTTAAGATTCTATCAATTCTTTAAGATCTTGTCCTAATCCATATTGTTTTCCTAATTATATTTCCATTTCTGTTTTAGTCTTTTTGTACCTGTTCTTTCCTGTTAATTTCTTCCTCAAGTTGTTCTTCAGTTTGTACTAATTTTTGATGTTCTTCAAATCTATCTCTCCAAATTTTATCTATTTGTTTATCAATTTCCAAGTTAAGTATTATTTTATCAATTCCTTCTTTGAATTCTAATAATTCTTCTACCTTTTCTATTAATTCTTTGTTTTCTTCATGTAGTTCTTGTAATTTTCTTCTTTGTTCTTGTATGTACTCCTTAGCTCCGTTATGCTTCTTTTCAATTTTCTCTATTTGTTCTTCTAATTTTTTAATCTTTTTTTCTGAGTTGTTGTATAAATTCCTTTGTTTATGGTACAAATTTTCTGTTATTATTTTATCTTTTTCTATTTTTCCTATTGTGATAATTAATCTTTCTATTTCTTTTGATAATTTATTACCTATTTTTGTATTTTTTTTAATTGGCTCTCTAAAGAAATTCTTAATCCTTTTATAATTATTTGTAATTATTGTTGCAAACTGTTTTTCCATAGTTTCACTTGTAAGTCTTTTATCTTTTTCTTCTTTAACATGTTGTTCCAATTCTGTTATTCTTTGTTTAAATATATTTGCTGCCTTTACCAATTTATTTATTTTTTGTTTATCATCTAATTTTAAGAATTCTTCTTCTTTAAAGATTCCTTTCATATTTATTGCTGGTGATTCAATTTTATTATTCTTGTTATTATTTTTTTCTGTTCCTGAGGTTGACATTTTTAGTCAATGATTTCAATTTTCTTTTAATTTTTTGATTTTTATCATGTGTACCTACCATGTATTTATATTCTTTATCCACTACTTGTAATATCAAATTCTGGTATTTTATAAGTGTAGATATTAACTTTAAATCAAATATTTCTCTTAACCTATATGGCTTCCATTCAGAATTATTTTCCTTTTCCATTCTTTTAGGTATTTGATGTTCTTCTAATTCTAATGCATACATCTTACATTCTATTTTTCTTCCTTCAATATTTCTATGCGTTATAAGATATACTAATTTTCCTTCATCAATTTCTATTCCTGTTTCTTCAAGTATTTCTCTTTTGCATGCTTCTTCTGGTGTTTCACCTATTTCTATTTTTCCTCCAGGTACTTGGTAATATAAGAAATAATCTTTATACTCATTTGTCTTTTGTGATAAGTATATGATATTCTTTTTGTATAATAATATTATTATATACCTTTTTCTAATATGTTCTGATAGTTTTTTCATTCTTTGGTAAACTCTTTCTATTTCATTTTTATATTCTTGTATTATTATTAAATTACCTTTATTATTATTTTCTAATCTTGGTAATATCAATTTATAATATTGTTTATAACTTTTCTTTACTTTATTTTCATATATCTTTGTTAATTTTTTATAATATCCTGTATCCAAAGTTCCTTCAAATTCTCTTTCATTATCTTGTTTCATTCTTTTGATAATTCTCTGTATTTTTTCTTCAATACTTATATCTAAATATATCACTATTCTATTTTTAAGGATATTAAGATATTCTTGTGTTTTTTTATGTAACTCTCTTTTCTGTTGCTTTGTAATATATCCTTCATTTTGTAAATGTTTTGTAAATACTCTTGTAGATATTACACATCTATCTAATATCACATACTGTACTTGTTGTGATATGCTTTCTAATTGTTTTCTTCTGATATTAATCATCCATTGTTGTAAAGTAAAGGCATATTTTTCAAGATTTTCACAAAAGTTTGTCATTAACTCTTTTGGAATTTCTTCTTCTAAGATTTGATAAGTCTTTCCTTTCTGCTGTAATGTCTTTTTAAGTTCTTTTATGAATGTTTTCTTTCCTACTCCTATTGATCCTTCAATTATCACAAATACTACTTCATTATTAATTTTTATGTTGGATTTCTATATCTACTCCTTCTGTTATTGTGATTAATTCAGGTTTTATTACCCAATGTTTTCCTTCTTTAATTTTGATATGCTTTAGATTTCTGAATTTTATGGAGATATCTTCTTTAGCTATATTTATAATTTTTTCTTTTAATTTATCGAATTCATCATATGTTGTTAATATTAACTTCATCATTGTTCCATTCAATTCCCTTTCTGCACTATCAGTATATCTATTCCTTGTTATCATAATTCCTATTATCTTATTCTTTGTACATTTCTCTTGAAATTTAATTATTGCTTCCATAAATCCTCTTAATGTTGATACTCCCAGTTTTGCACTCCAGTCTTTACACTGTATTAACAACAAATGTTCCTTGGTTTGTACTATCATATCTATTCCTCCATCTCCTGTTGGATTATACTCATCTGCTACTTTATCATAAAATCCATCTTCTATTTTTTGGATAGGTCCTAGACAAAATTGAAGTTTCTTGTATACAGCAATTTCAAATCTTTTACCTTTTTTTCTTAATGTAATTATTTCATTATTATCTTTACTTTCTTTAGTTATTACAGGTTTTTATGTTACTGTTATATCAGCAATACTATTTCTTCTATTGACAATAACATTTGTTTTAGTACTACTTCTTGTTTTAACCATTTTGATTATTTTAATTTTATGATTTTTATTTCAATAATGTTAATTTCAATTTATTCAGTTCTGGTTCCTTTTATAAATTTTCTAATTCTTCTTTTCCTCTATGTCTTATACTGCATGAGTGTTTTAGATAATCTTTTTACTATTTTGTACCCTTTTTCTCTTATACAATGTCCTGGATGATTTTTGCAATGATACATGCACTTTTGTCCCCTTGTACATTTCTATCTAATAGTTTTATCTTTCATATAATAAATTATATCTTTCTTTTGTTCAATCTTTCCATAAGACATCATAAAATGATAAGTATAATAAATTTGAACATTTTCATTATGTCTTCCTATGAGTGGTGCTTCTATTTTATCCCCACATAAACTACAAAATTTCCAATATTTAACTTCCCATTGTATGTATTCTACCTATGGTATTATTTGTTTAATTATTTCATTCCATAATTTACACACTAATCTAATATTCATTAGAGACATTAATTGTGTAATTTTTTCTATATATCCATCTTTTTTAGTTACATAATTTTTAATTCTTCCAATTATTATAACAGATAATTCTACTATTTCAAATACTTTATGTTGTTCAATTGGTATTAAAATTTTCGTTGATCTTAAGATCATTCTTTCCATAAGCTTCTATTTCCACAATGATATCTTCAAATGTGTCGTTGGGTGTTTCAATATCTCTATATACTTTGTAACTTTCTGTTTCAGTTACTTTAAATGCTCGTTCTTCCAGAATCTTTATTAATTGTTCTGCCAGTTCTTCTTTAATTAATTCTCTTGTTTCGTAACTATCAATAATGATACTATATCCCGGTATAATTGCTTTTCTAATTCTTACTTGGTAAGATGGTGGTTCGAATAATTCCTTAAAATGTATCTTTAAATTCCTATCTTCATATGATCCTTCAGGTATGAAGTATATGAATCCGTCACAAGTTTCTGTCAATTGGTATGTACAGAAATAATTTTCTTCTATTATTAAATCTTGACAGATTTGTTGCAATGTCAAGGTTTCTTTTAAATCAATTCTTTTTCTTGCGAATTCTTCTGTAAATGGATCTTTTAAAATTATCCAATGTTTGTTAATTCCTTCTTGATATCAATAAATATATTCTACAAGATATGAACTTGTCATTCTTCTTTTGAGTTTAACAATATTCAATTGTTAATTTAGGATTCTTAAATATTTTCAGGAATTTCTTCCTTAATTCCTTAAATTTTTTCTTTTCAATTGGATACTTCTTTATTAATTGTACTTTTTGTCCTTCTATTATTCTTCCTTCAACTTTAAATAATGATCTTGTTTTATTTATTACTTCTTTCAGAATTATCTTTTCATTATATAAATAATATGTCTTATGTGGTGATCCTCCTTGATATTTTTCTATTTCTTGTGATTTCAAAGAGTATCCTTCTTCTTCCGAATCTAAACTTTCAACAATTATTTATTCTTTCCTTTGTGGTTCTCCAATAACAATATCAAATATTTGAAGTTTTGATTTTCTTGTTATTTTCATTTGTCGGATTTCTGATTTTATTGATTATTCGATGTTGATTCAACATCTACCTTATCATTTTTTTATAACTTCTGATCACATATCAATCTTTTTCAATCATCCAATCGTTTTTTATCTCTTTATTTATTATTTGTTTATTTTGTCTTGCATAAATTTTTCATATATTTTGATATATTTTCATATAATTCCATATATTTCTAAATTTCTGTGGTTCTTTTGTTTGTTTGTTTATTTCACCTTGCATAAATTTTTCATATATTTTGATATATTTTCAAATTTCTGCGGTTCAGTAAATTATCATTATAAGCTTTATAAATTACCTTTCCTTTTTTCATCAAAATATCCGAAATAATTGGTTCACTTTCTTTGTTGATTATCGTTTTTTCACTTTTTCGGTCTTTAATTATTAATCGAAATTCCAGAATTATTTCAAACAATAATCCTTCCAATTTTCAAATTTACTTTGCTTCCGGATACCACAAAGGTTTTTAATACCTTCTTTTAATTGATGATAAATTCAAACTTAACTTTTCAGTGTCTTTTGGTTGTAATTCATCAGTACCTCGATTTTTTTCTTTGGTTATTTCCCATCAGTCAGAGGATCGTTAGTATTCAAATATCAATGCCATGATTCCCCTTTTTTATTTTGTTTCTTGTGACTTTAATGACAATGCTTTAAGGATTTGTGAAGTGCGATCCCATTATTTTAATAATGCTTTAACAGTTTGTGATTTTTTCAACATTTTATGTACATCATATAATAATGAATTATTCATGTTCAAATAAATTATACTTTATTATGCATTTACTATATAATAATGTAGTATATATAATTTACAGTATATTCAGACTTGTTACTAATACCAATTTCTTCATTTTTCTATTGCTTTCCTTCTTAAATCTTCTTCTTTTTGGGTTTCTTCTTTTATCTCTTGATTCAATCATTGTAATTCTTTTACGTATTCATTTCCCTTATATCGTTGTATCTTTGATCATAATCTGGCCTTTTCCGGTGTGGTTAATCCAAAAACTTCCATTCGTTTAATGCGCAATTCAATTTCATGATTTTCTTCTTCCTTTGATCTTTTAGTTGTTTGTATCATCCACATTTCCAAATAAGTTCTTTAATTATTCGATTTTAGAGTCTTGGTCACGCTTCTGTCGGATTCGTTGGAATTGTAAAACGATTGTTAAGATTGCTGCTGTCAATACTGTGAATATGATCAGTATGATTGTTTCTGATGTTGTGATCAAGAATATGCCATCTCCTGGTATGCTAGTTACGATAGTTAAAACTGATGCTGTTGTTGATATATCTGCTGTTGTGATGATTATTTGTGCACTTGGTGTTGTGATTATGAAGAATGTAACGATCCTAGTTATGGTGGGTATTGATTCTACGATCACATTTATCTATGGTAATATCTTCCCAGTCTTTCTTCTAATTGTCTTTGTTCAATGGTCACTAGTCTTTCTTGTTCCTTTCTTCTAAAGCACAGTATGTGAAGGCTGCAAAAAGTATAATTATAAGTGTCGCAGATATCACGGTAACTGCAACAAATTGGGTGTTAGGTGGGTTACTTTCTCTACTGTCAACAGCGGTGGTATTATTCATAGGATATTTTGACTTCTTCCAGATATGATGGGTGGTGTATTCTCCGATACTTCAATTCTTTCCTGGGTAATATTATTGATATTATTGAAGATACACAGCAAGTTATCAAAATAATCGCTGTCCTCAAAATGATGTCTGCTGTTACCACCAATATGACTTCTTTGTTAGTATCCCTATTATGAGTATGGTGGTGGTGCAGATGCGTAAGTATCAATAGATCCCCTTCGATCTGTCCCTATTATTCTAATATTTCTGTTAGAATGTATCCTAGTAGGTACCTGGTTTATTCTTCGAGTTAAACTTTTAATTTGCTTTTGTTGTATGATAAAAGTGGTACTCCAAAATATGACGAATGCTAAAACGGTTGAAAGAATATTAAGTATGTCCCTCAATTGACTTACTTCCCCTGTGGTGGTTGTTATGGTGATGGTTGCTTGGACAGTAGTGGTTGAAATAATTGTACTTATGGCAAGGTTGGTAATTTTTTTAGTAACTTTCTTTGTTATTGTAGATATGGTGAATGTTGCCATAGAACTGATTCCCTGCTCACTGAAGTTTTCCAGATATTAGTTGGGTACCTTTTATAACTATTTCCATGTCCTTGTTATCGGGTGTCCATTATCTCTTTCGGCTATAATCATTATTATAGATTTTTCTGGTGTTTTCCTCTTTTTGCTCTGAGCGTTCTCACATACATTTAATATTTATAATTATCCATTCTATCTTTCTTTATTTGTCTCATTATCTCCTATTTCGTGGTCTTGTTTATCCATTATCTCCTTTTTGTTCAGGCTTATCAATCTTTTCCCAATATCGGCTCAATGCATCTGCAACTGTATTCTCTTTTCCTTTTATGTGTCGAATGATTAATCCGTAATTCACAACCTTCTCATACATCGTTAAAGCTCCCTTTTTTATTGGTATTTTTCTTGTTGTTTTATTTAGTGTTGCTATAACACTACTGTTGTCACAATATATAATGACCATTCCTGGTTGGTATATTTGTAAGTATTCCTGATTTTCTTCTATCGTTCATTATATGGCGTACATTTCCTTTTTGTATGTGCTCCAGCCCTTTTCATTATCAGTGAAACTTTTCCCATAGTATGATATAATGCCATGATCCTGTCTTATTACTGCACCTATTCCATAGTCACTTGCATTAATGTAGATTTCTACTGGTTTTTCCAATTTGGATTTACTAATGTTGATTTGTCAGTTAATATTTTCTTTATTGTCTCGAATGCTGCCATTGCTTCTGGATCATCTACACTTCTTTTAGCTTTACTTTTTAATCCTTTCTATTTATTTAATGTTTTTTCTACAGTTTCTTTTAATGGTTCAATTATTTGTGCTCTTGCTGGTATGAATTTACTAACGTATACCAGTATTCCCAAAAATTTTTTCATCTGTTGTTCATACTTCCAATTTTTAATTTCTTTTATTCTTTTTTCTTGTATTCTTCTTTTTTCTTTTGATACTCTCTATCCTAAGAATTCCAATTCTTCCTTTTCAAATTCGCATTTAGATAATTTTAACTTTAATCCAGCTCCTCCTAATAGTTTTATTACTTTTTTTGTTTTTTCTAATAAATCTTCTCTTGTATGTGCTTCTATAAGGATATCATCAATATAAACAATTGTCTATCCTTGTAGTATTGGTTCATTAATAATGTGTTGAATACATTTTTGATAAAATGCTGGTGCATTCTTTAATCCAAAGATCATTCTTGTTGATTGATATTATCCCATTCCTGGCACTCCATATGCCATATAATGTCTATACCTTTTAGGAATTTCTATATGATTGTATCCTGACAAACAATCCAATGCTACAAATATTGCAAACTTCATCATTATTAATAGTATTAATTCTACTTCTGGGTGATATGTATGTTCAGCAACTGTTGCTTCATTTAATATTCTAAAGTCTTGTACTATTCTCCAATCTTTCTTTCCTGTTATCTTATCTTCTTTTTTTAGTACTGCAGAGCATGATGCTTGCCATTCTGAATTTTCTGCTGGTTCTATAATGCCTTGTTTTAATAATTCTTTAGTTTTTTTTTAAAGTTCTTCTATAGCTTCTGGTGATTTTTGATATGGTTGTGCTCCTTCTTTTAATTTGATAGTAAAATATACATTTTTAATTGTTCCTATTTCACTGATTACTTGTTCAAAAAAATGTCTATATCTTATAATGATTTTCTTATACAGTTCACTAATTTCCAATGAATCTATAATGTCTGACAATTCTTCAACTGTCTTTTCTTTTAATGGTTCTTTTGGCCATTTATTTCCAACCTTTTCTTTTAGTTTATCTAAATGGGTAATCTCTATATTATGAATTTCTTTTGTGGCATCATTCCTTCCATTCAATTTTTTGATTTAGTTATCCCATTTAATTTATTTGCTTCATGGTTTGATTCATTTCATTTTCGATATTCCTGTTCTAATTCCCATTCTTTTTGTATTTCTTGATTATATATTGACTCTTCTAATGATTGCATTATATTAATGTTCCCTCTTGTTGATCTTTGTGTTATATCTCTATATAATTTAGTTATTATGCTTTTCCCTATTTCCTGATATTCTTCATATATTCCTATAGGACTATCTGTTTTAGTGAATCTAATCTTAGTTCCTTTTAGTACCAGTCCTTCAAAGGCTACAAAGTTTATCTTTTTGTATCTTCTAATCTTCCTGTTGATATCTTTTACCCTTACCAGGTATATTTTAATTACTTCTTCCTCATAACTTACCTTTTCAACATATATCTTTTTTATTAACTCAGTTTTATATTCTGTTGCCAATATTTCTTGAATTGCTTGTTTATCTCTTTGTCTTTTCTCTAATGTTATCCAGCTTGTCACTATTCTATTCATTTCTGAATCTTTAGTTATGCAAATTCCATTTTGATTATATACTATACTCACAATTATTACTCTTGGTTCTATTTTTTATTTTATTTCTTTATAATCAAATTGTGATATTTCTCTTTTTTGTTCTTGTATTGTTTGTTCTATCCATGTCGGGTCTTGATATTTTTCATAAATTTCTGGTTCTGTTGATTTTTGTGGTATAGGTTCTTCATGAGTAGTTTCCTTTACATTTTTTCCATACTGTTGTTTTAAATCTCTTGCTGCTTCAATTTCTGCAGTGCTTTCTGATTCTGAAATAATTTTATCTAAATAATTATTAACTTGTTCTGTTCCTGATGAATAATGATTCCACAGTTATTTCTTTATTCTTTTAAATGCTTCTTTATAATTTTTTTTAAATTGTTCTTTTTCAACATACTCTTCTGCCTTTTCATCTATTACCATTTGATCTAGCTCATCATCATATTCTATATAATTATTCTTGTTCTATTTCTTGTTAATTATTTTCTTTAGATCCTTCTAATATTATATCTATACCTGTTTTGACTATTTCTATTATTATTGCTTGTGGTAATCTTTGTTTTGGTATAAAGATATTTTCATGTTCATCAATTCCACATCCCACTGTGTGAGTTTGTTTTATTCCATTTAAATGGATTAATTCTATTTTACTTAAGTATTTTTTAATTTCTGTCATTATTCTATTGACATTATTTCCTACTGCATGATAATGTTATGTATCTAAACATATTTTCATGTGTCTTCCAGCATTTTTATACCAATCATAAATTTCATTAATTTTGGTTCCAAAATATTTGATTCCTGATCTGTCATTTGTTGAATTTTCTATAAGTATTTTTATCTTTTCTCTTTGTTTGTTAAATTTATATCCTACTAAACATTTAAAGTTTCTGTTAAATCCTTCTATTGTTTGACAATTTGGTGCTTTATATGTACTTCTTGGTCCACAATATATTATTACTCCTTCAGCTTCTATTTTAATTACATCTTCTATTTCTTCTTTTATTTTATCAAAATTTCCCATATTATGTAGGCTAGAAATATTCAAATGTGTAGAAATAT